TGCAATTCTGACACTTGACATTGCTCAAATAACTGGTTTTTGGATACCTAATACTCCTGACAAAATAGTTTGAGGACAAAAATATCCTTTCACCCTAAATTAAAAATTTGTCATGTTAAATGAAATAAGGACATGTGTCTCTATAGATGCATCATTTTTTTTTTAAGAATTTTGGACTTTATGTTGCATTAAAAATCTACGACCCATGAACCCATTTTAAAAACACGTTCCAGCCCGCAGCACAAAGCCCATGTCTTGATTTAGCTCGGGTTTTTTCTTTTCTTTCCTTCATTCTTTTTCTTTTTTTTTTTTTTTTCCGGTTAACGTTTGCTCGGCTTACAAATAAGGCTACTCTCTATAATTCAATCTCCATAATTTACAAAACATTAAATTAAAGTTTAGACAGTATTTTAAATTTTATAAATATAATTAGTCATTTATAATCTTAATCAAGGATGGATCCATTCACATCATAGTGGGGGTAGCCACCCCCAGGCCACTATTTTTTTTTCAATTTATAAATATATTTATACACAATATATATATATATATATATATAGCATTTATTCTCATTTTATATACGATAATTGCTTCCAATAATTTATAATATTTCTTTCTAGTCTATCCTTATATGTGTCAATATATGATGCCCCCATAACTTAAAATTTCTAAAGTTAGTAATTTCTTAAAGTTCTCATATAAATAATTTATTACTTAAAATTAACAAAAGTACATACAACTAGATTTTAATCTTCTATTTGGTTAGGGAATGGAAGAGAGATAAAATATTTTAATGAATTAAATTTGAAACAAAAGTAAATAATGAGAGTAATATTTTAATAAAGAAAAGATGTTATAATTAAAAGAGACAGGAAAATTAATTAAAAATTTTAAATTCACTTCTCTATTTTATTTTATTTTATTTTATTTTATTTTATTTGAAAGATCGAACTTTTCACCCACCTCCCCTTCGTTTTCCTTAACCAAACCGACTGTCAAAATTAATAAAATTTAGATATTTAATAAATATTAATTTGATAATTTTAGAAAAGAAATAGTATATAGAATGTCACATAAAATTGTATCAGTAATTACAAATAAATTATTATAACAATTAAAAATAATATTTTTATTTCTCATGCATATGTTTTTTTATGATGATTAGAAGATAAAAAATAACAAAACAAAAAATTAATTTATTAAATTAAAAATATAAATAATAACCTGTTTTATATTAAAATTTGTTATCAGGTTAAATTCAAATATAAAAAACCATCTATTATAGTTAATTAATTATTTAAATTAAAAATATTTAATAAAATTAAAATTAAAAGTTAATTTAAAAAATATATAACTTTTGAAAATTTTCTAGAATGATATCACAAAATCTAAATAGCGGCATATTCTATTTTATATAATTTGTTAAATTTTTCCGTTTCAGAAACTAAAATAGCACATTTTTATTCTAAAAATTGATTACTTCTGTCAATATTGTAAACTTAAAAATATACGTGACTCTAAAATTTATTGACCCCATGCTTTTTTTATTCCAAAATTTGTTACCTCCATACGTATTTAAATAAAAATATGATTATAAAATTAACAATTTTAAAAATAATCTTTTCTGTTCTGTCAATCGCGGTACATAAAATTTAAATAAAAACTCGTTATATGTTATTTTGTAACTTTTAAAAAATTAAATACAATTTTTATTGTAAATTTTATTATATATATGCATATTAAAAATTAAAAACTATACTAATGAAAGGTGGTGTAAGTGTTATGCAGCAATTTAGTTTTTTAAATTTTTAATTTTTCCCTAAGTCGGGAGATAACCCCTGCTATTAGCAAAATCTACTCTTTATGTTTTTTAAAAAAAAAAAAACTAAAAACAACATTAGACTTCAAAATTGATTACCCTATGCTTATTTATTTCAAAATTTATTACCTCAACACATCTTTTAATTAAAATATACTTTTTTTAAAATTATTTTTTAAATGTTATGTTACCTAAAATTTTAATTTTAAAAAATAAATAATTTTGTAATATTAAATTAAAATTTTAAAAACTTTTGGTCTTCCTTTGTTTCTGAACCAACTTTGTAATACAGAAAGACGGAATAATCATTCAGCCCAACATTGTTACAAGATTTTGATTTTTTTTTTATGAAATTGCATTTTAAATGGGTAGAGTTAGGGCTGCACAAAAGACAGGACGGCACTAGATTTCACCCTAACCCAAAATTCAATCTCTTTCATGAAAAAGATTAGGTTAGGCAACACGTAGTCTGATCTTGTCCAGTGATAATCCGAAAATTACCAAGACTAAACTTGGTCCATGGGACTAGGAGACTGATCCTATCAGTCCAGTACTTAGTTAGCTTTTTTTTTCCTTTTTTATTCTATGAGAGGCAATAATCCATTTCAACATAATAAACTCAATTAAGATAGTAAAAACACTTATAATAATAATAAATCCATAATAATTTCCAATAATAAGAAAAAATATTTTTGTTATAGTCCAAATGATTTAAATTTATAATTTTAATAAAAACTACACTCAATAAAATTCAACAGCACTACATTACAACAACAATTTAGTAACAAACTCAACAAATTTTCATACAATCATCTCCTTAGTATTAATTACACTTCAAACATTTATCAAAAATAAATTAATTATAATTATAATAAAAAATTAATAGGACTGGATTGGATCAAGTGGTCAGGATGCATAGTTTCTTATTCAGTTCAACCTGAAGAAATAGTCTGATCTTTTCAGTCTTTTTGGTCCTGAAGGATCAATGTCTATACAGACCGAATAAAATTGAAATCATTTCAAATTGAATTGGACCAGATAAGATTAAAAGATTTTTGTACAGTTTTAGGTAGGGTAATATAATGGGTACTAAGTTTAGACTTTAGCCAAGAATTTCTGAAAATAATAGCAAGATCTTTTATATTGGAAAAATGGAAAAAGGACAACATTGAATGGGTCCAACAACCATTACACCGCTCAATCCAATAAACCCATTTATTAGGTCCATTTCTATTCTCAGCTGCCAAAAGCCAGATTCTTTTTTATCTGTCTTAATAAAAAAGTTGATGGCATGTCAAACATTTGTTGGAGTTATTTCTGTTTAAGAAATTGCAGATCTGCAGTAAACCGATTTATCATTTACAGTAAAAAAAAAAGATTGATGCTTCCAAACGTTTTGATGTCTTGCAGTAACAATAAGATAATGTTCTGTAAATGTATTGTGAGAAATTAAAAATGGATTCAAAACCTAAACATTTTTTTTAAAATAAAAATAAACATCCTTTTACTTAACTTTGCTTATTTGATCAAATAAGTAAAGGATTTAGGTGGTTGCAATTCAAAATATATTTGGAAAAAAAAAAAAGTTAAAGACTTTATCAACTGAAAGCTAAGATGACAAGCGGGAGATCAAAGGACTTTTACTTTTCTTAACTGCAATTTATGATAGCAACTGCATAACCAATGTCAACCGAATTCTAGAGACAACTTTTACTTTTCTTTTCCTTTTTTTTTTAACAAATCATTCTTTTTTTTTTTTTTTGAGCAAAGACAAATCATTCAATATCTAATAGGAAAAAGTACATTTAGTCCTGTAAAAAAAATTATTATCAAAAAATTCTATAAAATTAATAAAATATTTTAAAATTTAAAATTATGTATATTTACAACTTTACTAAAGATATTCACAATTGGACAACAATCATTTACTAGTTACTATTATAAGTTATCATTTTTGCAAGTTGAAAATGATAGTTGTCCAATTTTAAATACACTTAGTCAAGTTATAAATACATAGAATTTAAGATTTGAGAATATTTTATAAATTTTACAAGACGTCTTGATAATAAATCATTTTTCATGGGACCTAGGTGTAATTTATATTAGCAACTTGTTTGGATTATATTTGAATCATATTAGGTTGCAATTTGGATCAATTCAAAATTTTGAACTAGAGGTATGTCAAGAGTTTTTGAGATCGAACTCACTTAAATTTTTTGGATTAAAAAATAACATATAAAATATTGAATCTGCTATTGCATGATATAATTGCTAATAGCAGGTCTTTCCCTCCTTTAAGTAAAGTACGCCCATTTTCAATTTTATCTTGTTAAACTATAGCTAATTTTAATTTTATTCCAAAGATATATATTCCACTTCTTTTTTTTATGAATGAATTTAAAATTTTACATAAGATATATTTTTTACTATATTTAAATTATATAATTTACTTTATTGTCATATTTCAAAAATAAAACTATGTTTATTCCCATAATATTAAAATTTAATTTTAAACCAGTTAGTCAAGTGGAAGGAACTTGATTTTACTTAAATAAGGTTGAAGGTTGGAATCTTACAAACGATGGGGAAAAGAATTCTTATAAGCGTTACCTTCAATTAAGCTTTACAATATATAAATCTGAAATATTTTTTTGGATATTACATAGTTGCGTAAAAAAAAATAATAATAATTGTTGACTTAGAATAGTTAGTTTAAGTGGTTCGATCCAAATATAGTTCCTCCATAATAAAATCTCAAGGTCAAGTTGTGTGTTTGGAGAAATTTGTAGCTAGGAGAATTTCAAATAAATATTTCAATCTGACTTAATGTTCATGCAAGATTCAATATTACAAGGAAAATTGATTGATATTCTCCAAACTAGCACTAACTTCCCCTTCAAATATACAACTCGCCCCACTACTATCTCATGAAAACTTAATTATTATGAGGAAAATTGCATTTTTTTTTAAATCTAGAAAGGCATTCAGCCTTCTTGTTCAAGCCTTTTCAATGGCTCCTTTCTTTGTTTCGCTTAAAGTAATTTATTTCATTGTTTTTCATTATCCATTGGAGAACTGGTTTCTTGGACTTGTGAAACAAGATGGATTTACTATGAACCATAACAGGGTGAAGGGAGTATAGAAGATGGGATTAAAGAATGGCAGGACAAGACACAAAAGATACATCAAGTTGAACTAGCAAGTTACATGTGTTATCAGATGGATCAATCTTCTGTACAAAAAGAAAAAGGATTTCTGTTATGCTGTACTCTCAAAAGAATCGGCCGGCCAATGTTTTAAGTGAATCTCATCTAATTGTTAAAGGAAATTTTATCTCAAAAAAATAAAAAATAAAAACTTGTTACAGGTGCACAAAACCATACAATAAATTTAAGCACGGAGCAATGACCACGTACAGTATTGCGCCAATCCTTCAATAGACTGTTTATCTACACTCGCTCCAGAAATGCCAATGAAGCTGTTTCCAGGCTCTGTTTTTCGAACTCCCCTTTCCTTCATTGATGTTCTCTCTCTGCTCATTTCATTCCATTGACCTGCACTTGCGTACATGCTTGCAAGAAGAACATAGTCACTGCTATGATCTGGTTCCAATTCCAGTAAATGTTTTCTCACCTTCGCTCCAAGTTCAACACGTCCATGAACTCGACATGCGGCTAACAAAGTTCTCCAGACAATTGCATTGCACTCCACTGGCATGCTCTTTATCAAGCCGTATGCTTCCTCAACTAAGCCAGCTCGACCCAAAAGGTCTACCATGCACCCATAGTGTTTAATTGTGGGTTGGATATTATAGTCTCTGGCCATAACTTTAAAATACATTCTTCCTTCGTCAACCATCCCTCCATGGCTACAAGCACAAAGTAGTCCCAAGAATGTCACGTCATCAGGTCTCTCGCCATTCTCTTCGACCATTTTTGAAAAAAGGGCCAATGCATCTTCTCCATTACCATGTGATGCAAGCGCGAGAATCATGATATTCCATGAAACTATGCTCTTCACTTTCATCTTGCTAAATGTGTCGTATGCTTCATCCAATGCTCCACACTTGGCATACATGTCAACAAGGGAATTGCATACGGATGTAATATCTGCAATATCGGTGTCTCTAATACAGGAATGAATCTGCCTCCCAAAATCTAGAGCTCCAATTGCAGCACATGCCGAGAGGGTCACTACCAAAGTGGCATCATCAGGTTGTATCCCATTCTGAATCATTCTCGTGAATAGTTGGAGCGCTTCCTTGTGGCTTCCACAACAGACATGAGAGTCTATGATTGAGTTCCAAGTCACTAAATCTGCATTGGGCATTTCATCAAACAGGCGGCGTGCGGTGTCAATGTCCTTGAGCAAACCATACATATGCATGAGAGAATTACCGACATAAGCATGGGAGGAGAGGCCAAGTTTAAGGGTGTTACAATGAAACTGATTCCCAAGAAAAACAGAATTCAATCGCCCAACAACTTTAAGCAAGAAAGCAAGGGTGAAATTATCTGGTTTCTCTCCTTGCTCCTGCATTCTGCGATAGAAATGGATGGCCTTTTGGGATTGGGTGGTCTGGGAGAAGCCCCTGATCATGGTGTTCCAGAGAAACGCATCTGGTTGTTCGACCCTTTCGAAGATGGAGAGGGCGTAACTCATGTCTCCACGCTCCGACACGGCACAGAAAAGAATGATCTTTCCGACGACATGGAGGTTGTGTTCAAACCCAGTAAGGATTATGCGAGCATGACATTGCTTCAGATGTTTCATGGTGGAACAGCGCTCCAAAAGGTTCATTAATCTTCGAGCTTTTACAAAGTCTCTCATGGTTGATATGCGGTGCCTTGAGAACGCCAACAACAGAAGCTGTGCCTGGGCCAACAATGTAATGCGGGTTTCGTCTCAGAAGAACAGTCACAAGCACACTTGTTTAATCGTTTTGAATGTTCAAGTCAGAACTGAATTTCATTATTTTGGCCAGTCTTCCACTCTTCCATGACAAATCTAAGGTTAATATGTAATTTTTTTTGAATTATAAGTTAAAAAATGATTTAGATCATAAATTTTTAAAAAATATATTTTAAATCCTAAAAATAATTAAAATTGGTATAATTTCATCACCACTATTAAATTTTATCAAATGTTCATTGAAATGGGGCATACTATATTATTTTTTTAAATAAGGGTAGGAGTGAAAGGGAGAGTTAAATTTGATAAAAATTATACATTAAGTCTCAATTTTTAAAAAACTAATAAAAGTTTGTTGAAATTTAACGGCAGGGTGAAATTATCTAACTTTAATTATTTATCATTCAAAATATATCTTTTAAAAATTTAGGGTTAAAATGATCTCTAAACTTATAATTAAAATTTCAAATTATATATTAACCCACAAAACTATAATCAAATACATGTATGGATAACAAAATGAATTTTAAACATGAGTATTGAAAGAAAAAATATATTTGAAAGTTTTTACAATTTCTCTCAATTTTAAACTAAATCGTTGAAGTATATTTTGTTTTAATTGAATACTTATAATTTGATTAATTAATTTTTTTAATATCTAAAAATTAATATTTTTAAATTTTTTACTTGAAAAAACAAAATTAAGAATTTTTTATATTTCTATAAATGATTACATAATTTTCGAACTAATTACATAGTGTTTATAATACAAAATTTATATTATTAGATTGTCTTCTAAATATTTTTATACATATAGAATTTTCATTAAAAAATTAATAAAATGTAAACAATATATTAAATCAAGGGAAAATAGCATCTAAGGATCACTGAGAAAAATTAATATCAATCAAGAACTAATTGAGTTTAAAATTACACTACAGTCCCTTAGTCCTTAACTGATATTAATTTTTAAAATTAAAAGTTTAAACTGCCCCTCTAGTTAAAAAATATAAAAAAAAAAGAAACCCCCACCGTCGTTAGCATTAGCTACCGAACCATCATCGACGATGAAGTCACAGGAGCCCCTGGTACCTAAAGGGTCGTTCGCGACCGATCATCGGAGCTCTAGCGACATATTTATTCAAGGAATAATTGTTTAGATGGCCAAGGGAGGATTTGATCTCGTAACCCTTGGCCACCTAAAAAGCCCTTTAATTATTTATAGCAAAAAAATATATAAGTAGTAAAATAAGCTTCTAACTACTTTCATGTTATAAGATAACAGTGTGTCGTTAATTTTTTAATGGAACTTATTATTTTTCAAATGTTACTTATTAACTTGAGATGAATAATTACAAATTAAGAGTTTTAAAACTTCATGCATTTTACTTATTAAAAGTCCAAATGTATTGTTGTTAATCACAAATAGATTATTGTCAAAATTTGAACGAATACTTGTTAATGAATAACTAATATATACAACTAAGCCCTTCCTATCCATTTTTCTAACTTGTCAAAACTAGAATAGGCTATTGTTAATTTTGAATAAATTGTTGTGAAAATTTAAATGTATACTTGTTAATGAAGGACTAACATAATATATACAACTAAGCCCTTCCTATCCATTTTTCTAACTTGTTAAAACTAGAATAGGCTATTGTTAATTTTGAATAAATTGTTGTGAAAATTTAAATGTATACTTGTTAATGAAGGACTAACATATATAATTAAACACATTTTATTCATTTTTCTAACTTGTTAAAGTTCGAATAAACTGTTATTAATTTAGAATGAATTGTTGTCAAAAACCCAAACAAATACTTGTAATTGATGATTAAAAGCACAGGGCTAATGGGTTGTTGCTTTTCTAGCTTGTTAAATCTCGAATGGATTGTTGTTGATTTAAAATAAATTATTATCAAAACCTGAATAGATATTGTTGATGAAAGACTAACACGTACAATTATGCCAATGCTATATACTTTTCTAGCTTGTTAGAGCCTAAATGGACTATTGTTAATTTAAAATGAGTTGTTGTCAAAAGCCGAATAGAAACTTGTTGATAAAAGATTAATATGTATAATTATGTTTATCCTATATGTCGAACAGATACTTGTTGATAAAAGATTGATATGTATAATTTTGTTTTCCTATATGCTTTTCTAAACTTGTTAAAACTAGAATGAACTATTGTTAATTTAAAATGACTTATTTTTTATACACCTGTTCCATCAGGCCTATGCTTCTAATCATCAGCATCAAGTATGCATTCGAGTTTTGATAACAACTCATTCTAAATTAACAACAGTCCATTCAAGTTTTAACAAACTAGAAAAGCATATAGGATTGACATAATTGTATGTGTTAGTCTTTTATCAACAAGTATTTATTCAAGTTCTGACAACAACTCATTCTAAATTAATACAATCAATTCGGGATTTAACAAGTTAGAAAAGTATATAGGATAAGTATAATTGTACATGTTAGTATTTCATCAACAAGAATCAATTTGAGTTTTAACAATAACTAATTCTAAATTAACAAAAATCTAATCGGGATTTGACAAGTTAGAAAAGTAATAGTCCATTAGACCTGTGCTTTTAATCATTAACTACCTATGCTTTTAATCATCAACTACAAGTATCGATTCAAGTTTTGAAAATAATTAATTTTAAATTAATAATAGTCCATTCAAGCTTTAACATGCTAGAAAAACATATAAGATGTGCTTAATTGTATGTGTTAGTCATTCATTAACAAGTGTACATTTAGGTTCTCACAACAATTCATTTAGAATTAACAACAATCTATTCTAGTTTTAACAAGTTAGAAAAACTGATAAGAAAGGCTTAGTTGTAAATGTTAGTCATTCATTAACAAGTATTTATTTTAGTTTTGATAATAACCTATTCGTAATTGACAACAATACATTCAGACTTTTAACAAGTAAAATGCATGAAGTTTTAAAACTTTCAATTTGTAATTGTCCCTGTCAAATTAACAAGTAACATTTATAAAATAATAAGTTTTGTTCAGAAATTAATCAAGTAGCCAAGGGTCATGCGATTAAACCCTCCCTTAGCCACCTAAATAATATTTCTTAAATAAATATGTTGCTAGAGCTTCGGTGACCGACTGCCGACGGTGGTCTGATGGTTAGCAACTATGATGGTGGGGATTTCTTTTCTTTTTTTTAACTTGAGGGGTAATTTTATCATTTTGCTTATGAAATTAATATAAAAGAAAGACTAGAGGACTGCAGAGCAAATGTCAAATCATTTGGTCTTTATATAATATAAATTTGACATAAAGGTTCTTGGATGCTATTTTCCCTCATATCAAATATCCTACGTTTGATTTGGGCTAAAAATATTGAATTAAATTTTCCATAAACTCTCAGAGTATTTTTATTTTTGGAAAATTTAATAATTAAATATTAATTTTAACTTTCAAGGGTTAACATATATAATAGGTCAAATTATAAGAACTTAATTAAAACAAAATAAATTACAGGAACCTAATTTAAAATTAAGCAAAATTATAAAGACTTTGTAGATTATTTTTTTGAGATTAAAATTGACATCAATGTATCAAAATATATATATATATATATATATATAACAAATATGATAGGAATATGACATAACTGAATATCCACATCAATTAATGTTAATTTTTAAAACTTTTTCGCTATATTTGAATATTCCAAGAATTATAGAAATTCACTTACGGTGGTTTGGACATGTAAAAAAAAAAAAACCGTTGAAAGCATCAATGAAGAAAGTGGAACATACAATTTTTGAATTCTATGGAAAGAGATAGGGGAAGATCAAAGAAAATACTCCATTAATTTTTTGAATGGGAAACATCCAAAATTTTAGTAGTTAAAATAAAATAATGACATCATGCTGTCAATGTAACTAACCCACCAAAGATTAGATCAGACATATTGTTTTTGTATTTTAATTTGACTCAATCCATATTAATTGAAGCCTAATATGGCTTCCAAAAAATGTTAACATTACCAAATTAACTAATTTTTTTTAAAAAATAAATTTTAAACATTTCAACATATGTCAGAAAAACAAGCTTTTCTCCTTCGAACTGAGGTTGATAAGTGATTTCTATTTTTTGGGATCAAATAGCTTTTCTTTTTTTCTCTTATATTATATATAAAAAGTTTAGATATATACTTGGATGAAAATTATCATGCCCAGCCATATTTTGTGGATGGATCTATATAACAACATATGTATCAATTTCCTGAGACTAGTTTAATTGGCAAAAATGACTGATAAGGTGATGAGGTGAGGTTTGAATAATGGAAAAAATTTCAAACATTTCTAATGTTAAGTAGGGCTATGCAAATATCAAGTTGGACCAAGTTTAGTTTCAACCTGAGGTCTAGTCTAAAATCACCATAGGTTATACTTGGCAATCTAAGGTCTGGTCTAGTCAAGTATAAACTCGGTGGTGGATTGGATAGGCTTAGTCTCTCAACTTGAAGACTGGTCTACCAAATTATAATTTCTTTTTGTTTAATTTAAAAGCCAAGCCACATTCAAGAAGATGAAGAGCATGTAGAGATATATGAAGATATACAAGAAAAATATTTGCAATGAATCAACATTATCCAACATTATGATTTATGAGAAAAATCAAAGCAATATTTTGACAAATATTGTAAAAAAAATAGATTCTTAGAATAGAAAAGGAGGCAAAGAAGAAAAGCCACAAAACCCAGATTAACTGAGGAAGATTAAAGATGGAGGCTTGGAGTAGAGATTTGTGAGATGTCAATGCATATAGATGAAGATTTGTTGAAATATTAAGATAGCAATTTGTTTAATTGATAGAAGAACGTCAACAGTGGAGGATGAACTGAGATGAAAGAAAGGCAACAGGAATAGTCATGGGGAGAGTGATTGCAACTAGGTACAGGAGCATGGTTGAAGCCTCGAAGGGTTTGGATTTGAAAGT